CAAAGCTTTCTCTTTGTCTTGAAGAGAAACATCTAAAGCTTCAGTCATTTCCATATTATCACAATCTGTTGTTTGGGCTACTGATAGATTGCCCTGAAAATAACCAGCATTGCTTTGATCTGTTATCTCTCCATTTCCAATGACAGTCAAGGAGGACATCCTTCTTACTTTAGGAACTGAAGGCTGACTTTGTTCCATCATATTCACCGTGTAGTCTTTATTTCGAACGGATATATCAGATACCCCCGTCATCTCCATTGCATTGTCTTCTTCAGAGAAATAATGTGATCTATTCTGATCCAGAGCAGCCTGGACACCGCAAGTGATATTTCCTGTAACTTTAGCATTGACTGGAGCAGTGAACTCCATGTCATCTGACACATCTGGAAAAGCAGATGTCATGATGGGAACACTTCTAGGGTTTTTAGGAACTGAGGGTGTAAAAGACTGTGCACTATCAATGTTTTCTGTTACAACAGTGCGACCCATTGTTGACCCACTTTCGTCATTTTCAATGAATGAAACTCGAGAACGTCTGCGTTGAAGTCCTCGGGGTTGTAGTAGCTGACACTTGCTGCTTGGTTGTGGTTTCGTCAAAAAAGATGGCAAGAAATTTTCCTTATCAATTTCTGAAATGCTTGTATTCGCTGGACCGGAGGCATTATTGAGCTCGTTTTCTGATTTTTGGAGCTTAACAGTATTTACAGTGGGTAAGTGCATACTTGCGAGAAAAGCACTGAAGTCTGAGTCCATTGAAACATTTTTCTTGTCTGCTTTCTGACTTGGAATATTCGAATCACCACAGACAGTCTGAGCCACTTTGAAGCTAACATCCTGGTTTGCCTCCTCTTTGATTTCATAATCCTTATCAAATGTGATAGTGTGACTGTGAGTAATATCCATGTATCCAGTATCTTCACCAAGTAGTATTGTTCTATCTACATAGTCATCTTGTAAGACCGGATCAGAGAAGAAATTTTCCTACAATTTGCAAAAGAAAGGTCAAAACAATCAGTGTGTCAAAACAAGGTGTGTTTCAATCAAGCATTGTGGCAGCAGTATGCATACTTTAATCAAGCAGGTCATAAAACTGCAGAAGCCTGAAATTCATCATATTTTTTACTTAGATCAACACTTACTTTATTCTGGGTTAGATAAAGAGGAGTGTGCAACAAAGTTTCCAGGCCTAAAAAACAGAAAGGTTTAGTGGTTTACTATCTGATCGCATGTATAATATTCAGAAAAAATACAAAACATATGTGAGATTATGCGTTACTATTATGCAAATGCATAATATACTTATATTGAATATTCTTAAATTGAAGAAGTGGTCATCAATGTTTACATGTTTTACTTGAAAAAGAAATACCTTTAATTTGGTGACTTCCCTCATCCGCAAAACGCAGGATCCTGTCATTTAGTGAAAGAAAAAAAAAAAGGTCACGGTTTTAAAATATTTTAACGTAAAATACATGAAAAATACATGTCAAACTTGAACAGCATATAAGCCAGAAAACAACCTAAATAATAAAATCTTCTACTCACTTTTCATCAGGCCGCTCTTCTGTTGAATTTAACGAAAACAGTGAAGTTAATAGCTTGTTAATGTTTTACAAAAATATGAACATAAATATTTAATCATATTCATTTACTCAAACTGGTACGCATCTTGTTAACAAACAATAAACCAAATAAAACAACAACTGCTCACCATGTAAGTTTTGTATGGATCCCAGAACAGGAGATTCATTCTTTGCCTCACTGTGAAATATTAATGATTATATATGAATTACACTTCAAAACATACTATTTGTGGTATTTATTATATGGCATTTTCCAATCAGTGGGTTGACATTGCTGCACTTACTTGGTAAAGACTCGCACATTATTCGTAGTGGCAAAACTCACTCTACGTGAATTTCTCCTCTTCTCTACAGGCTTGGCAATTTCTTCCTGCATAAATACAAAGATTTAAAACAAATGTTCATTTTTATAATAAATACAACAAACAAACCAATTCAGTAACACAATCACCTTTTGCTCCTCTTGCTCAACTCCAAGTACTTTCATAGATGTTCGAGGAGCTTTCAAAATCTGTCAGGGTAGAAATGGATAAAACTTAGAAATGGACAAAAATGTGTAAGATACTTCTTGTAGGCTGAAATAAAGTGAATATACTTAAAAGTCAGGTGAACCACATATCATTTGTGAGTAAATTCATTCATTACTAAAAATCAGCATTGTGCCAAAAAACTAGTATATACCCATTCAATGTTCAAAAAAATGTTAAGAGAATATAAATAATAATAATTTATAATAATAATAAGAAGAATAAGAAGAAGACAAATTATCAGAAGGTGTCACATTTCACAAGTTCAATTTCAATGATTTCCTGTATGCTTACCGAAGAAAGTCTCCGTTTAGAGGATTTCACTGCCTCATTGCTGAAAAAACCCCAAACAAGGATTAAATTAGTTACACAAGTTGCTTTTATGACATATTCTATAATTTGCCAGGAGTGGAAAAAATAAAAAACACTTCACTTATTTAACACATGCTAACGTTTATTCATTTAGCAGATGTATTTTATAAATATATGGAAATGAAATGCTTTAAAAGCTGTTTGTCATATTCGTAGTGGGCATGGGACGATAACCTGTTTTATGGTTTGGATTTGGATATGGTTTTATTATTATTAAATGTGTTGTAAAGACATCTTTGTTTTTGAAACTAATGAAGAGAGCAGAAGTCAATTATTTATTTGAATAATTTAGGCTGACATGTTCACTGTTCCAAAATATTATAAACGTTTCCTATTCCTAATATAAAATGTATTTTGTTCAATGGTGGTAATCGTTTTTTCTTCTTCTTTTTTTTACCCAAACAAATGATAAGAACTCATTACACAGAGTATATGCAGGAATCAGAGAATGAAATGTAATTCCTTTAAAGACTCTTTCCATATATTTGAAGACCTTATAACTAAAGTAGGTTTCAACCGGAAACACTGGCGAGATTTTACCTAATAGTATATTTACTAAATATTAATGTAAGAAACTATCCTAAAACTAAAACATTATTCATACACCGAATAAAAATCTAACAAATCTAGCTAATTCAGTAGGCTGCCACCTATAGAACTGCAGAAATTATGGCATTGCATTGGTTTCTGCAGTAAACAAAGCAGCATGATGTCAAATTTAGCAGGATTTTATTGATTTCATAAACTACACAGCATCCTTATATTCATAGATTTAATTCAGTCAAACTTAAGCATACAACCATACATCCTATGTTTAAAAATGATATAAAATTTAATACCTTGCAAAATAGCATTTGACTTTTTAATACGTTTTAAGAGCCTTTAATTTCTCTACATTCATTTATCAACTTTTAATACTTTTTAGGACCCTGCAAACACCCTGTTAAAGAGCAGTAATCACAATACCATGATACTGTGAAATTTTTATCCAAGGTTATCATACTGTGCTGTCAGAAACTTATACCGACCCATGCCATATTCATAGTGCACAATGCAATCTCAAAATATAAGATAGATTAGTTTAATAAGGTGTAACTTTATCAAGATTATTCTACTTTTCTAATTGACAACTATGTAAACAGTTACTCTGATGCATGTTTATTTACTGGCATCAATTTAAATATTATTATTAATAATATGTTACAAATTAATATATTACAATATGACCATAGACTGTAAAATATATATGAATATGACAAGCAATGTGCTAATTTTCCCAGTGCTGGGTTGCAGCTGGAAGGGCATTCGCTGCGAAAAACACATGCTGGATAAGTTGGCGGTTCATTTAACTGTGGCAGTTCCTGATTAATAAAGGGACTAAGCCGGAAAAAAAATGAACGAAGGAATAAATGAATGAATATGTGTTAATTTCCAGACATCTGAAACATGACATGCTGTAAGACATAATGATAAAATCCTAAAATATAAGACTTGCATGTATAGACTACAAATACAATAGTTTTGCTCTTACATGAGAGCACATTAAATGAAAATGCTTTGTGATTAGAGGTATATCAAAGCCTTAACTGATCTCCATCTTTGGTTTGAAGCTCACCACACAGTAAAACATCACAGGACGTTTGAGCATTTTAGACAGACGAGTCTCAATCATTTATACATCAGTAAGGGGCAAGGCTGCATTTTTAATCCAAAGCAGCTGGTCAAATTGGTCTACAGCACGAATCTTTTTTGCTAAAAAATAGATATAAGCTATCAACTTAACTTACCCTAAATTCTGCTGCTCCATCTTCAATTCATGTGAACAAGAACAGTATATCTACAGAAAAAGCGAGAAACACTGTAAAGAAAGAAACTAATTAAAATGAAGCCGGTTGTTTTGAATTGCTCTAAACATCTTTCATATTATAATAACATCACTTACACAAGTTTGTTGTGGCTGAAGTCAGTGTTTTGTGTCTGTCAGACATTCACACGCTCATAACAACAACAGCATAACGTTAATATTGTGCTATACTAAACAAATAGCTCTCGACATTGAGATGAATTTAAAAAGTAAACAGTACTTTCATAAAAGCTTCCGTACGTCTGCTATGTGGCTGAATATACAAACACATTAATAAACACTTCCCTCCATTCGCAGCTTGTCTTTTTTCTTCATAAAATTTGAACTCAACCGCCGCGCCTCTTCCTCGCGGTCAGTAACGTGCGATATGAGATGACGCGCTTCTCTTGCGCCCTCTGCTGGAGCGGAAGAACATTTTGCCATCGAAATAACATAAAAATCGCATTCTCTAGTAAGTTTTCTTAGGATAAATTGCTTTTTTTAATTTGATACTTTACATCCATAAATCTATAATATAGATATAGTTAGTTTAAAAGTTATAAATGTATCTAGCTCAAAAGTCGAAACGGATTTGAAAGGAGGCGGAAGTGACGTTGTTTATTTTGAAAATTCATGGCGCTGATCTACACAGGCATCTTTAAAATATTCTCTACGGATTGATATTAGGTCTACGTGGTAGGTTTAATGCATTTTTATATTTAATTTTGAACATGTTAAATAAGCGATGTGAGATAATATAGTTTAAAACCGCATTGCATTTAACTTAATGTAAGAATAAGGCACGTTGACATGACGAGGAACAACAGAGAAGTTATGCGTATTACATGATCACACTGAAGTACTTTTGGCCCTTAATATGGCCCTAAATGTTCTTTAGATTCTTTTATTTTTGACAACACAAACTTTTTTGTTGACAAACTCTTCTCAGTTCTATGTCAAACAAAGATATTTGCTTAGTTATAAGCAGTTCTTGGATCTCTTTACCTGCTTGCGTGGGTTTTTGGAATAATTTATTATATAACTTACAATATAAACAGTTTTGACTTCCTCAGATAAAAATATTTGTAATAAAGCTGTCGAAGTCTCAATCAAAATCATTCATAATTACTACCCAAAAAATTATACCAAACTAGCTAAATGTAATAACAATATTTTAGCAATTCCATGCAAATGTCAATCTTGCCATGAAAAAAAATTAAGTTTCCATCAAAATAAAGAAATTGTTTCATTTTTTGTGTGAGCAAATATTTTACAGTACTTAAAAATGCTCAAAAATGTCTTTCTCAGTGTTTTTAAACTATTATATTTGATTTAACAAAGTCACACAAGTGCCACATCCATAACAGAGAAGTGTCAAGTACATAACGGAGCTTTTTTCTCATAAATGCAAAATTGTCAAACAAAATAAAGTCAATGATTTTTGTTCCATAGTGAGCAGACTTTTATGCTTTTAATTAGCATTATTTATTTTGTGATGTGCAGTTTAATTCACAGAATGTTTTACATTGTATGTTGTGTACTGTAAAACAAGATTTTACTTGCCGATTTTGCTAACATCCATAACACATGTTTATTTTCCTCATTTAAAATGTAAAAAATGTATACAGGTTGATATTTTTCTGCGTTTATAACTCTGTGGTTGTTTTGGAAAATATAAACAGTTGCTTCAATATAATGTTAACATATACTTTCTATGTGAATTTATGTTATGAGTTTTTACTGTTAATGTCACATCCATAACTCTGGAATTGCTCATTTGCCCTAAATGCTTATTTTGTACTCAATATGAGGAAACACTAAATCATTTATTATGGGAGTGTACTTACTGTTAAGTGTTTTGGGTTGACTTTTCCAATTTCAGTAAACATTTCTTATTTCCAAACTTTTGTATTTGCCTAAAATGTTATTCTTTGGTTACTCTCTGAACTTAGATTCTTCTCATTGTAAATTTGTTAATAATTTATTGCTTTTTCTAGCTAAGTTTTACATCTATAAATTTAAATTTCCAAAGAAACACACTTTCTATTTTCAGAAGGGATTTTGATTTATATGTGAACTCCTTAAAATAATATTTATGATTATCTTAGAAATAATTATATTGCATGTAAAACTCTTTCTTGATGTGAATCATTCAAGCTTGTTTAATTAGCTGGAATTTTATTTATGTAACCCTTTTTGTTCATAATGTATCTTTGTATATGTTTTTTCGTGCATTAAAAAAAAAAGATTCTATCGGAAAAAAAGACCACATTGATTGAAGTAATTTTGAGAATAACAAAATATTTGAATAACTTTTGTTTTGTTTTAATGACTTTTGTTTTGACCTTCTCTCAAACACGCCTTCACTTTTAGTCGTGTTTTTTTTAATCAGATTTTTCTCTTATCAGTTTGTCAGTATTAGCCTTTAATATTGACATTAAACAATTTAAAAACATTAAAAATGCTTTCGTTTCTATTTCTCCAGAACATGAAGAGAGTTCAGACGATGATTCCGGCACAGCCCAGTGTCACATCCAGAGCAGCACAAGTCAAAAACGACATGGACACCAAGTAAATATCTTCTCTTTAAAAGTTCTGGAATCATTACACTTACCTCAAATATTTATTTTTAAATTAATAAAATACACTTTTATTTATTTCAGGAAAAACCAGCACAGGTCACTTAAAGTGTAAGTACATACTTAATTAACTCAATTATTATATGTAAAGTTGGTTTTATATTTACACATACATTCATTTTTGAAAAGGGACATCTTGTGACATCTGGTGCCTATGGGGAAAATGCCGAAGCATGCTATTAGGACTTTTAATTTTCCAGTAACCTGGGTTAAGCGCTTCCGGCGAATTGAATGACAATGCAAAATCCGGTGTGTTTAAGGTCTGTTTTCTTTAAAAATCAGCGATCTCCACTAGCTGAGTGATATCCGATTTAAAGTGGGTCTCAGATTGTACAAGAAACAGTTCATTAAATTACATTTCCCCTGCCATATCTTTATAATATGAGTATTTATTTTACCCCTGTAGATTCAATGGAGCTTCTGCGTTAGCCTGCCGATTCTGACGGGCGCGTGCGAGCAGCTTTTTGTCTCGTTTTACGCTTGAGCAATTAAATAAATGCTAAAGTTTATTTAACTGAATGTATTTTAATGACATTACAACATCGATGCTGTATAAGGAACCGTATAAAATGGAAAAAAGATCACAATAACAGGTCACCGGAAGTGTATCAGCATGGGAACAGCACTAGCTCGGCATATACCCTATTACATACTTTGAATATTTGGTCTGAATTTGCATGTAGTATGACTTTAAAACAACATTAGCTCTATTTAATTGACTCTGAACAATGTACTTTGTTAGTCATTGGCTGCTAGTATGTTTTCCCTATTTAGAATTGGCAAAGAATACTTTTCTGAAATGATATTATTCAGAAGAAAGTCAGAATGTGCGAATATAAAGTCAACTTTAGCTCAATCTACTCTGCTCCAGTCTTTTTTGAAAGTTACTTTGATTTTTATCAGGCCAACTACAAGATATGGGCAACAAAATGACATGAGGGAGCAGAATCGAGTTTTGATTTCAGCAAATGAAGACCTGCACAAGCAGCTTGAAGAAATGAAGGTGATCATTTTAACCAATTTTTCAGTGATTTGCTCCAATTAATTCATTTATAATATTTTGCAATGCTAAAAAAGATTATTTAAACTATGCACATATACTTTTAATTCTCCAAACCATGTTTTTGAAGGACACTGTGACAGAGCTGGAGCAAAGATGCACAGACCTCCAAGGAGAAAATCGAGAAATTCAAAAACAGCTGCGGGACTGTCACATCCTCCTAGTAGCAGAAAAGCTTGACCCAGGTGAACTATTTAAACCTCTGTTGGACTGACACAACACAAAAAACACCTGTAGTTTCTGCTGAGTTGCAATCTAACAATCTCAAATTTAGTTTCAGGGGAAAAGTTGGGCCAGACCGCAGAAGACAAGGAAAAACAAAGAAAAGAAGTCATGGTACTTGCATTTGTCTTTCTGTATATGTACATTCTTATATTTGTGTGTATTTATACAGATATACGTTTTTAAAATTGACCCTAATATGAAAAATTACATATCTGTCTGATGTACACTGTCTGTCTATAGGTTATGTGCATGTCTTACAGTAAAGGCAATATTTAAAGTAAATAAATAACACTTTAGTTTAAGTACCAATTCTCACTATTAGCTAGTAGGGTTGCACGCTTTACCGGTACTATGGTAGTATTGTGATACTATGGCTCCAAAATACTGGCGATGCCACTGTAGTTTGTAAATTTTAGTATTGTCATTAACAATCTATCTACAATACATAATGTTGCATGTGGAAAAGTCACTAAAATACTCACACACTTATGCAACAATTGATCATTTTATTTGGATAGTCTGTGGAGCCCTTTAAGGCTGCAAACTGTGTAGAGTTCATGCCTTTTATAGTAGCCTATTGCACGTTTTTTGACACTTCAGTTCGAATCTGAATCTGTTTATTTCTGCTCTTGTCAATATGATTTAGTAGCTACAACAATCACGACAATCTCTTAAAAAAGGCGACTCACAAAGTGAAATTTTGAATTATTTACCTGAATTGAAAAAAAAAACAATAGGTACTGGAAACATTGAAACAACTTTTGACAACTTCATAAAGCCTAATTTGTAACCAATTTCATTTGGTAAAATTTGCATCCTAATTGTAATGTATTTTTTGTTGGTCAGTTATCTACTAAAGAAACAAAAAGAACGAATACTTTTTAGGTAAAGTGACGTGCAAATACTTTTTTCATAAATAAGAAAATAATTAATTAAATTCAAGTCGGCCAATTATAACAGATACAATATAGTATTTATGACAATTTTCTTTATTTTATGGATTTGAGATATTACATACAATATCGCAATACTACTTGGTATTATGACACTTCAGCTGGGTTGGTATCGTAACATGAATTATTGGTATCGTGACAACCTTATTAGCTAGTGGCTTATTACCTGGTTACTATTAAGAAATTGGCTGTTTATTAGTTCTTCTATTCTGCATGAGCTTACTCTGCATCCTTAATCCTATTTAATACCTCAAATAGAACTATTAATAAGCAGGAAATGAGCAGTTTATAGATGCAAAGGTCATAGTTAATGGTCTATTAATAGTGACAGTTGTACCTTAAAATAAAATGTGATCATATTTTTTTAATTCAAAAAAGCATTGTAATAATTTTTACCTTGCCATGGCATCATGAGATGCTGATAAATGGTCATAGCATGGACAAATAATAGGGATTATGTAATTAGTCATATTGCATGGTAATCTGTAGTACTGTATGTTAATTTTACAATGCTTGCATTAATAATAATAATATGACATCAAATATACACTACCTGACAAGAGTCTTCGATCGTCGATCCCAGTTGTAAGAGCAACAAATAATAACTTGACTTGTAGTTGATCATTTGGAAAAGTGGCAGAAGGTAGATTTTTCTGAAATGCATCCCAATCATCACAAATACTGCAGAAGACCTATTGGAATCTGCATGAATCCAAGATACGCAAAGAAATCAGTCAAGTTTGGTGAAGGAAAAGTCATGATTTGGGGTTACATTCAGTATAGGGGCATGCAAGAGATCTGCAGAGTGGATAGTAACATCAACAGCCTGAGGTACCAAGACATTTGTGCTGCCCATTACATTACAAACCACAGGAGAGGCAAATTCTTCAGCAAGATAGCGCTCCTTCTCATACTTCAGCCTCCACATCAAAGTTCCTGTAAACAAAGAAGGTCAAGGTGCTTCAGGATTGGCCAGCCCAGTGACCAGACATGATCATTATTGAGCATGTCTGGGGTAAGATGAAGGAAGAGACATTGAAAATGAATCCAAAGACTCTTGTTGAACTCTGGGAGTCCTGCAAGAACGCTTTCTTTGGCATTCCAGATGACTTTAATAATGCGATTTGAGTCATTGCAGAGATGTATAGATGCAGTCCTCCAGGCTCATGGGAGTCATACACAATATTCATTTTGTCTCCACTGCATCATGACTTTATATTCTATATTGTACATTATTTCTGTTAAGTGACAAGACTTGTATAAGCAAGTCAGACCTTACTGTTCTAATTAAATAATTAAAAATGAAGGCATGACCATATTATTTTGATAAAATAAGCTTAATCTAGAGGCCTTCACTTTCATATAAGCCACTTCTGATACCAAATGATCAACTAAAAAGTCTAATTGCTGTTCCTAAAACTTGGATAGGCGACAAGACTTTTGTCAGGTAGTGTATAATGAAAGTATCATAGATGCAATATAATTATTATTAATATTATTTTTTTACTTAAAGATGTCACATTGCTAATCACCTGTAACATAATGATTTGACACATTGCCAAATGAAACTAATATTGATCCATTAATGTTTTAAATGTCCTTTTGGTAAATGGTCACTGCAGACACAAATAATAAGGATTGATTATATAATCAGGCATATTGTACAATAATCTGCTCTGCAGTCACACTGGATTACTTGCTTTTACAGTCTGATATATTGTGATGTAGATGCACATATAAGACTCCATTAGTGAATACAGATGAAGCCTAATTCTATTTTCTAGCATGTTTTCTCCGGGGAATCACTCCTGACAGTGCGGTTCATCGTGTTAAACCAGAGTCAGGGAAACTGACTTTCAATTAATTATTCATCTCCTGTTCGTTTTGTTGTTTCTAATGACAGACCGTTTCTCAAAATCTCCTGACTGAGCTGAAACTGCTTGGCGAGACGGCGCAAGAGCATGCAGCAAATTTACTGGTTAGTATTTGCTTTGTGTGTGTGTGTGTGTGTTTTTTTTTAATATATATTCCCAGGTTATTTATTCTGATTCGAATCTCCTACGGCACTGACCAGACATTAATACAAATGTTTCATTCCGACTGATTTATATGAGGATGAAATTACACACATTCTGCTCTGCCGGGCTTGAGGCTGTATAATTAATCACAACGCCAGGTCCAGCTGATAAAATATTCATTTGAAATGTTCTAATCCTTCTAAATGTTATTGAGTGTGCCTCTCCAAAACGACTAGATTATAGCGTGACCTAAGACAGGTCTGTATTTTGATGTTAACACCATCAAGATAGTGCTCTGATTAAGGCCCTGTTTACACTAGTGCGTTTTAGTTTTAAAACGACGTTTTAGAATGAAAACGATCTGTGTCCACACTAACGTTTCACCCAGCGTTTCTGAACAGCTCTCCGTCTACATTAAAACTGAGAAAATTCACGTCACGTGACCACAGACAAACACACTCTGGCTTGCGCTGCAGCGTGCTTTGAGCGCACACCCGTATGAGAGCTGTGCACGTCAGACTGTTCATCAAGGATCTCCCGTTGGATCTAATCTCACTATATTTGTTAAACGTGATTTATAACTCACCTTGTGTCTATATCTAACAATATATTCACCGACTTTGGTCTTTTGAATCTATTACTTGTTCTCAGGTAACATGTTTTGGCTGAGCGCAAGTATAAGTTAGGGTAATATCTTAATTAATGGAATCGTGTACACAGATTCTGCACAATTGACTGATTGCTTGCCTTTTTTTTCTCTATTGTATAAACTTATTGTACGTTATACTTTTAAAATGGCCATTATTGATTATTAAAACTGATTTTCAGTGAAAGAGATGTTTTGTATTTTCAATGAAAACGAAAGGAGGCAGTAGTGTTATAGGCTCTGTTTTGTTATAAATATGCATGAAGATGACGCTCATATTAAGCAGCTACACAACACCTCAACATTTTTGATGTTGGTTAAGTTGCTAATATCAAAATGAAAATAGGCAGTTCCTCACATCATGTTTTCATTTTATTGTTAAGACATTGAAACAGCATAGCCAAGGGCATGTGAATAGCTTTACAAATTACACTCGGGAGTTTGTTTTCCATATGCGAAGTCTGAACTTACAGGGAGAGGATGCAGGACTGAACTGTGTGTGTAGGCTACTTAATATTGAGGAAAAAGCCCCAATCAGCGAAGCGAATGTCTGCAGCCCCGCCTTTGTTTTCATGTGTGTCCGTTTTCCCCCATCCACACTGAGACAGAGCAGCACTGTTTTAGACTAAAAACGGCCTCTTCAGCGTTTCCAAAACGCTCTGTTTTCGGGGCTCGAAAACTCAGCCGTAGTGTGGACGGGTGGCGTAACCGTAGCAAAACTTATGCATTTTAAAATGAAAACGCATTAGTGTAAACAGGGCCTAAGGAGCCACTATGTAAACATTACTAAAGTCATAATTGGAGTAAACACAAAGTGAATTAAGACACGTGGAGTCACACTGTTACTATTTAACCGATGTAATCTCACTATTTTTTTGCAACAAGATACACACGACAAGCTGTTGACCACTGCCTTGTTTGTATTCTACACATTGATTACTTTAAAGGCTATTAATAATCTCTGTTTACATGGTAGATTCTTAATCAGGATATTGTCTAATTCAGGGGTGTCCAAACTAAGCCCTGGTGGTCCTGCAAAGTTTATTTCCAACCCTAATCAGACACATCTGAGCTAGCTAATCAAGCTCTTTCTAGGCTTTCTAGAAACATCCTTTCAGGTGTGTTATGGCAAGTTAGAACTAAAATCTGCAGGACACCGGCCATCCAGGACCAAGTTTGGACACCCCTGATCTAAATCATGCTAAAATTAAAATATTGTTTTGAACTTCGCTTTGAGCAAGAATTTGAAACTGCTGTTGTCTGCTTTCATATATAACTGCTTTTGTAAAATAAAAACATTCGAAACTGTATATGGTATCATAAAGAGAACTTTACTTGAAGGGGTGTTTATAAAACATTAATAAGTCATAAGTTAATAAGTCATTAAAATGTTAGAGTTATGAAATTACACATCAGGAATGTAATGGGACTAGGATAACTGTCATTAAGTGTAATTGGCTCTGTTATGTCATGTTAAAGGCAAAGTTGACATTGTTTGAGATCTCTTTATGACAAATTGACATAACTAAATTCATCATAATCCCTTTTAACATCATAAACATGATTGCCATGAGGCCATTATAATCGTGTCATGAATCTTATAACAGCGTCATTATTTGTTTTTCAAACTACAATTTGGATTTGTCATTAAAATGTCATGAAATATTAATAAAGCTGTTAAGAAATTATTTGACACTTAATAAAAATTGTAATGACAAATTCATTTTGTTCCACTAATAATGTTCACGACACAGTAATAGTGGCCTCATGGCAATCATGTTTATGACAGATCTATGACAAGTTATGTTGTCTTGATAATGTCAAGTTGTCATGACACAGATTGTGATGTATTTGTTTATGTCTAGTTGAATAAAGCATGAATAAAATCTCCTTCACATTCATGACGTGTCATGTCATGGTTATAAAGGGGTCATTACAGTCTTATGAACACCACCTTCAAGTAAATGCTTACCGGAAGATGAACTTTGTTGATAATCTGTACACTGTAAAAAAAACTGGGTTCCACACAATTCTTCACGTTGTCTCAACACAAATTAAGTTAAGTTAATTATTTTTACAAATGTAAGTTAGTTGAACATGAAACATTTAAGTTATCCCACAAGAATTAGTTGATTCAGCTCATTATAAATATGTAGTTTAAACAAACAGCTAAAATATTGTTTTGAGTGTCGAAAACCTTGGATGCCATTGCGTTGGGATGTAATGACATGTCATTTAAATTGCCTGAGACTTTCATTTATCTACAGAACACAAATGGCAGGTCTCTTTCAGTTCTCGTTGCCATGGTAGCACACAACATAATCGATGCATCTATGCTCGACTTTCAGGATTTTACGACAGTATCGCGCGAGCAGTTATCTAGATTATTTAAACTGAACTCAGATTAGTTAGATCAAATGATCTTCAACTTGCTGTTATGGAACCAATTTAAGTGTGGACGTTTAGTTCGACTCACTGAAATCAGGTTTTTGACTTTAATCCCTGCTTTTTTAAACCACTTTTATGAAATAGGCCCCAGTTATTGTCCCATGCCTATCAACAACGGTAACAGGAGTAGAACAACATGAGGATAAATAATTAATTACCGAATTGTCACTTTTTGTGAACTACCCATTTAATCATCATATTATTGTCTTACTGTAAGAATAAGCTAAGTAATACGATAGCTGGTGTCTGTGTAAACCCAGCCTCTGTTCATACTTGTGTGAATGTTTCCAGGAGGTGCAGAACACCATGAAGGATCTGACGGAAGCCCATGAAAAGCTCCAGGAGGAGAGGACATTGTTCACTTCCGATGTGGAGGAAATGGAAAGAGCTCTGGAAGAGGCAGAGAGACTCTTGATGGAGTAATTGAAAGAAACTCGTTGCCCCGGCCATAAATACTGCAACGCCATATGGTGCTTTCAGAGATCTGTCAGAATGAGAACGACAACCAGCGTCTGCATGAGTGTACAAACACCCTGCTGCATTTTAAGGAACATCAACCAAATGTACTATTTCATATATATATATATATATATATATATATATATATATATATATATATATATATATATATATATATATATATATATATATATATATATATATATATATATATATATATATATATATATATATATATATATATATATATATATATATATATATATACACACACACACAGTGCTTTACAATTTTCTGTTTGTCTGTCTACAATTTGATGTATTAATATAAAGTTTTCATGTACTTGTGAAATTGCAAAGCACTTGTTTTGATTGTCATTGTATTTTATTATTGAATATGATTAAATTTTCAACTGACTTTGAAAAGTGTTTTGCTTTTGCTTCACAAATTAATGCAGTGATATCTGTATCATAGTGATATTATGTGAAATACAGGGTTTCTGCAGATTCCATGGTCAAATTTTAGACTTTTTTTTTTTTTTAAGACCATGAAGAAAGTAATTTCAGACTTATTTAGGGCTAAACGCTAAGGATTTTTTAATGGCCCAGCAGGAAAAAAAAGCTTTTGCTCCATCGAGAAATGCTTTCTAATTAATTATTTCTTAGCCACATATCTTAAATAATGTCAACAAGCAGAACCTAGTTGTATACATATATTGTTTCAAGATAACTTTTAAAAAACTAAATGCACAACAGACGAATATTAGTTATAAATAAGAGTTTTGCTAAAAGTTTTACCAAAATGTATTTTTGTTGATTGGATGTGTGTTGGATCGATTGGGTAGCTTTACATGAACAAAGGAAAATTAAGACCACTTTAAAATTATTTAGGACCTACAAGACTATGTTTTAGTGAATTTAAGAATTTTGTTTTTGAAATTTAAGATGTTTTAAGACCCTGCAGATACCCTGGGTATGGTTTTTGAGACCTACACAGAAGTGCTAAATTTGACATTTCTATATTAAAATAAAAAAGGTTTACTTTTAAAGTATTGTGCCTGAGGAAATAATAACTAGGTTTCCAACATCCTGTGTAGAAAGGCAATTTTTAAAAAGTTAAAGTGAAGTTAATTTATAGACTAAAGCTGCGGTCACTTTTCTCTCCATAGACTTCCATTCATACGCACGCGTATGCGTTAGACTGGAAACGCATGTTTGTGCGGCAAGTTTCTCAGTTTGTTGTGTTGGAAAATTCAAGCATGGTGAACTCTGACCTGCGAAATTGCATCACATGATTGCGTGAGACCAATCGAAGTTCAAAACATGACCTCTTTGGACAGGAATTTAAAACATGGACCAATCGCTCACTTGTTTTAAATGTCTAATCGTGTTGTTTAATCCCAGCCCTTTTTGCAGTGCCGTACAACAGAATTTCACTCGCACAAACTCTCGTGTGATTGCGGCATAATTTTGAGAGGAGCATGCGATTATGATTGAACACGGCTGGTCCCGCTGCATGTTTCACCAGTAAGTCACTATAAAAAACAAGAGTTTCTTACTACAGTTATCTCATCCTTGAATAATTCCTCTTCCACCCCTACTCCTCCACCTTTTCCTCTATAGGTTAGCCCAGTTGTAAGCACTGTTGCCTTACAGCAAGAATGTCATTGGTTCAAATCCTGTCCAAATCAGCTCTAAACAAAGGGGGGTTCTTGAAATTACCTGAGCTCAAACTCCCCTCTCGCCCTGCAAATGGGAGGTAGCCCCGGGCTCAAGGATCTTCTGAGCTCAGGGTTCTCTCTTAGGACAGCATGCCAAACTACCTTTAAAATCAATCATCAGCTAATTGTGAAAGTGTGAACTCTTAAAATGTCCTTGTCTTATGCTTGTTTGAAGTGTTTTGGACTTAATAATCAGAAATGCGTTAGCAGAATAAACTGTGAAAGATAACAGCAAACTGGAGACAATTCACATGGTCACAATTTGTTTTATATATATATATATATATATATATATATATATATATATATATATATATATATATATATATATGAAAAGTTAAACTTTAAAAAATTAATAAGAATAAAACTTAAAAATTGAGTGGAAGACTGATTAACTTATTCAAAGACTTTTTGACCAAAAATTTTTTTCAGTGTGAATATGAGATGAGAATGAAAATGTATTCCTATGTAACCCACCGGTCTTACTGCACCCCACCCGGTCTGAGATGTGATCGAATCCACGATACTTTGTATGGGAGTTGGTTAATCCAACAAGGACGCCTAAGATCATGGGGTCTGTTGCTAGATTAGCCTACCTTTAGAGGTCAGAGGAATGAGATTTACCTGCATAGCACTTCACTAGCTGGCCTTGGTTACACTCCCATCCCGGACGAGGCCCCACACGTGTAACCCACCGGTCCTACTGCACCCAACCCGGTCTGAGCTGGGATCGAATCAGCGATTCTTTATGAGAGTTGGTTGCCCTAATAAATGGTCTCTAGCGTCTGTTGCTAGAGCACCTTTAAAGATCAGAGGAGTGAGGTTTACCTGCACAGCACTTTGCTAACTGGCCTTCGTTACACACCCACATTTCACTCCCATACCGGACGATCCCCTCCATGTGTAACATACTGGTCCTACTGCACCCAACACTGAGCTGGGATCAAACCGGCGAGTCTTTATATGGGAGTCAGTTGCTCTAAAAAGAATGCTAAATGGCCATGGCCCCTAACAACTGTCACTAGAGCACCTTTTGAGATCAAACGGGTGAGGTTTCCCTGCACAGCACTTCGCTAGCTTGCCTTCGTTGCACTCACCCCCATAGACCTCACTCCCATCCCGGATGAGCCCCCACACATGTAGCTTAACGGTCCTGCTGCACCAAACAGTCTGAGCTGGGATCAAACCAGCGATTCTTTGTATAGAAGTTGGTTGCTCTAACAAGGATGCTAAAGACTGTGGCTGGATCACCTTTTGAGGTAAGATGAGTGAGGTTTACCTGCATAGCACTTCGCTACACTGAAAAAAAAATCATTCAAAGATGATTTCTTTGGATTAACTCAATTTTTTTACGTTAACTTGTTGTAAACAATTTATTTGCGCTGAATTTAAACAAACAAATTAAGTTGAACATTATTAAACTTAATTTGTTTGTTTAAATTCAACACAAATAAATTGTTTGCAACAGTTTTGCATGCAACACTTTTTTTCAGTGTAGCTGGCCCCGTTACACCTTTATTTAGCATTTTAGGGGGCTAAATGCTTTTTTTTCAATGCCACCATGTATAAATACGTTTGTCCTTCATTGTGAAATATACATCCAATATTATGCTAATGTGGCTAATAATAGGCTACTAACGTGGCTTATATTTTTCATATCATATTTCTTACTCATAATGTCTTTTGACACTCGTGCTGATAGCCACTGACATGCACTGTACGAATGACCACAGACCACAGTTTTCTCAAAAAAATCTTTATTGTTCTACCGAAGAAAAAAAATCACCAACAAATTAACATTAAAATGAACTCTTTAAGTGTCCAAATATGTGTATATATCCCTTGAATGAACGTGTCAGGAGATTGGAAGAGATGAGACCATGTACACAGCACACAGAAACTGACTCTTTTTGGCATTAAGTCACCGATACGTTATAAACAAACAAAAAAAGAGCTGCCAGGTAATTTGCTTGGGGAATAATGTCGAATAATAAACAACATTACTCATGTCATCTTTCAAAAATAAATAAGTATGAGTCACATTGGCCTGTTTTTGGATGTTATTTAGATGCGAGTGGTATTTTTTTGTGCAAAGATAAATCGATAATGGTATGAATCAATCAATAATAATGAATAATAAAGGGCGACACATGACTTTTTGTGTACTTTTCACTCCACACTGCATCATTTCGAGTCATCCATGAATGCATTGTGGGTAATGAGAGGCATAACATTTCAATGTTATCTCATTAACAGCTCCTCAAAGCAATTCAAAGTGTTAACAAGCTGCTTTGAAGTGCATATCATTCTGTCTGCCTCACGCTGATCGGTAACACTTTTGCATAGCTCTTTCTGTCTTTGGACTTATAATGTTACGTGTTTCCCATCTGGATGGCCAACACAGCGAGAAGTTTGTCCTTGTCTTTTTCATCCCACTCTGATTTAAATGACAATTAATGCATAGAATATAATTAGGAACTGAAGATACGCCACATAAGCACATGCAGTTACAATGTCTGTACTGAAGAGGGCGCCAGTACTCCCTTAAAAGAGGATAGTTGCCCCAAAAATAAAAACTATCATCGTTCAATCACCTAATTGAGGTTGTGTTGAACACAAAATAAGATATTTGGAAGAACGCTTGTTGCTGGCACCCATTGACTTCCACTATAATTTTTCCCCTATATGGAAGTAAAAGAGTTTCAGGAATCAGCATTCTTCAAAATATCTATGTCGTATGCAGGAAAAACAAACAAACCTGGGAACACTTTAGAACCATGGTCCGCAATGTATTTAGTAACATTATTAAGTATGAATAATCTTGTAAAGTATTTATTAATCATAGTTCAATATTTAATAATGCATTATTAAAATCAGAAGTTGTGCTTAGTTAATGCATCATAATTAACATGACTAACATGACACATAGTTAACATGAACTAAGCAAACACATCAACTAACATTAACTAATAGACCATTATTTTAAAGTGTTACCAAACACGCAAACAGGTTTAAAACCATTTGAGTAAGGAAAAAATGATGAGGTGATTTTAATTTTTGAACTTCCCTTTGATTAGTTTTTTCATCAAATTCGCTAGATAATAGTACTGTAGCGGACGTTTTGATCTTGGGATGGAGCTTGGAAACATTCAGGTCATGTTGTGTTCAGGTCATTGTCATACTTAATGAGCTGAGTGCACAATAATTCTCTTTTTTGTGTTGTAAGTAATAGTGGGGAACTCCATTTTTGTTTTAGGCTTCTGTTT